AGTTTTTATGTTTTAATTGCCAATAGTAAAACATTAAAGAACTAGCTTTAGAATATTAAGGAAATGAAAAAAAGATTTAAATAGCAAATACCTGTTAAGTACTTAAACAACAACTGATATAATAAATGAAACATTAATTTTAGAAGAATGCTTTCATTCTTTCAAAAATTAAAAAAATACTAAAATATTTATATTTTTAACTTCTGAACTTCAAGAGAACTCTAGAGATAAAGTTAACTTTGAGTGAATTCTAGAGTTAAAATTAACTTTGAGCTAATTATTAAGATGGCTAAAAGACAGCAATAAAAGAACCAATAAATTAGTGCTTCTATTGGTCTAAATCCCTTTATTTTATTATTTTCAAAACACAAAATTTCAAATTACTTTTTCAAACTAATATTTAATAAGTAAGCAATAAAATTTCACATTAATCCTACATATATAATATATTTGATTCCCACTTAAATATTTTATTTACTATAGAGAAACTGTTAAAATAAGAAGCAATATTTTCAACTTTCTTTTTTGACTTGAAACAGTGTAACTAATAAGAACAATCAACAATCCATTTTAAATAAATATTTACAACTATAATTTGTACCATATTAACATTAGTTGGAGCATCTGGAGAAGGAATACAATGTTCAGCATGACCATAACAAGAACAACTTCCTCTTACAACTAACTCATACAGAGCATAGTAATAATTTGTAGACTTTGTTCCACTATTTCCAAGAACAATATCACCAAATGTGTGAAGCTCAGTAAACCTTATTCGAAGATTTGTCAATTTTAGAAGCCTCTGTACTGATAAACTATATGGGTCTTGTTCTTTTTGGACAGTTGGGTCAAGGACTTTCATGACAACCTGTAGACAGAATATTATGATGATAATAATAAAATCCTAAAATATGATAAAAATATAATAAACAGTAAGCATATAAAACTTTATAATATGACACAGTTATGATGTAGTATGTACATCATGAAGATAACTACCTCTCCAAGTGTGCTAGGTTCAACTTTTGAATATCTTTCTTCGCATACTACATCGTCAATATTGTGTTGTGTTCCAGTGGGAATATTAGGAAATGATTGTGCACAATTGTAAGCAAAATATCTGTACACACTATATGTTTTTCCATAATCAAGTGATCTTTCAATATACATTGCTTTTGGTCGAAATGTTTTAAATGTCATTATTAAATGTGTAAACACAAACTCTGCTTCAAAATCAACCTATTAAAATATAAAAAAATAAAAAAATATAAAAAAAAAATTAAAATATAAATATAAAAAATAAAAATATAAAATTAAAAAATAAAAATATTAAAAATAAAAACTATTTAAAACTAAAGAAAAAAAATGATTGCTTAGAGTAGTTTTAGTTAGCTATAATATCATTTTTTGTTTTTTTCATAACTAAAGATAAACAATAGCTATATACAAACTAACATTTTCTCTTTGTGATACTTTTATCTGTTTTGTATGGACTATTTAGATGGATGGATATTACAAAAACCATAACAAATATAATATAAAAATGGCAAAGAAAATTTAAAAAAAGGATATATAACAGAATGATTACATAAAACATTAAATAAAATTACATATAACATAAAATTACATACAACAATAAAATTACATACAACAATAAAATTACATACAACATAATATAAAAAATTAGCAATCACAATCATTTTTTCTGATCTAATGACGATACTAACATATTGCTCAACATGTATTACTCTTTCATATATGCTGGATCCAAAAAAAAAAATTATTTTATTTTATTGAACAAAACTATAAAGGCAAAAATTGATTAAACAGTTATTTTTATGAAGCTTTGTAGCAATAATATAAAAAAATTAAAACAAAAAAGATTGTAAGTTTTATTTTCTTTAAAAGGTCTTTTTGAGACAAGAGTAACAATTATCATCAAGATGCAAACAAAGAATATGGTGTTAAGACTTAATATAAGATATATACTATGTTTGAAGTGTAACTTAGTGGCTTATCTGACAAAGACAAGTCTTGTTCAAATTAACTACCCCATATGATAATAGAATATTACATAAAGAGAAATTCTTTAATGTGTAATAAATAAATAAAAACGAACCTGTATTGTAACATTTTCAACGCCATTTTCAGCTTGCCACCATCCTTTTAATCTATCTGCTGGTACTTGTGTGACCATATATTTAGGTAAATGGCTATATTTATATCTATTTCCACTTGATTCAATCTCTGGAGTGGAATGGCACCAGAAACATTTTTCATCTTTTTCTAGAAAGCTTACAATACAATACTTGGTGCGCTCTTTTAAACCACAAGTTGATGTAGCTGTTATTCTATTTTCACGACCAACAAGTAAATCTCCTGTGGCTGGGTAACAACCTCCTCTTAAACATTCTTCTTGCCCAAAACATAATTTAGCAAAAAACAAAGCTGAAAAAGAAAAACTAAATTTTTATTTTTATATTAAATTGGATAAAATATATATCACAACATATAATAAATTCTTTTTTCTCTTAATTACCTAACAATTCTTAAATGTAATCCCTCTCAAACTTTACCAACTTACAAATGTTTAAAAAAATAATACATTTTTTAAAATAAGAAACACTTTTTTGGCTTTAGCCTTATTTTAAAGCTTTTTGTTCAACGCTCTTACCAACTGAGCTATCCAGCTACAATAATATATTAATATAAATAATAATATTATATTATATTAAAATAATATTAAATCATTTAATATTTTTATTATTAATTTATAATATTAATATATAAAAAATATAATATTTTTATTATTAATATTATATTAAAATATAATTAAATTTTAATTAATAATATTTTAATTAAATTCCTTCTGGTTTTAAGTGTTCCTTCTGCAGGAACACTTAAAACAAGCTGTTTTAAGTGTTCCTGCAGAACAAGATAAAAAATTTTAGCCTTGAGGTGTTTCTTATTTGTTTTTAAAACTTCAAACAAAAAAGGCTAATGCCACTTCAAATTTTATTATAAAAATTCAAGTTTTATTATAAAAATGTTTGGGAAAATTTCTCTTAATCCTCTGTAAGGTAATGTAAAATAAGTATTATAATATAATATTTACATTGACATGGTGGCCACAAAACTTTAAAAGTAAAATTCCAGGACATTTCCAGGTCATTCCAGGACATTTTGTTGCGTTTTCCAGGACATTTTATATCTTATTAAATGAATATTATCAATTATTTTACGTTATATTTTTTTCATATTGATTGAATTATAGAAAAGATTATTATATTATTATATTATTATTACTCTTTTATTTAAAATTAAATTCAAACCATTTATATAAAAAAATTTTCGCATAACAAATTTAATATTTCTTAAATATTATTATTAATTTTTCGCATAACAAATTTAATATTACTTAAATATTATTATTAATTTTTTAACTTGACTCAGAAAAAAAAAAGTTCCAGGACATTTCAGGACATTTTTGAAAAAAATGTAATTTTCCAGGACATTTCAGGACACTTGCAAAAATCCAGGACATTCCAGGACTGTGGCCACCATGATTGAAAATGTTTCGTAATACTTATATTCAACACAAAACTTAATTTGCAAAAACTAAAAGAAGATAAGCCACGAATATGATATGTTAAGAAAATTAAGATATGTTAAGAAGAGAAGATAACTTTAGAAGATAACTTTAGAAGATCTATTTAATCTAATAATTAATGTAGATATGTTGATAGTTTGTAAAATTTTAAATTTTTTTGTAGAATGTTAAATTTTTATTAAAATGCATTTACGCGAAGTTTTTGTTTTATTATTATTTTCAACGTTACCATCATGGCGCGCAAGCCTAATATTTTAGCGCCCATTCTGTAAAATACCAAAATGCGAACACCGAGAATTGATGTTCCGAGAACTAACGAACTTCACCGAGTTTTTGTGCGCCGTTCACAGGTCGCCATAATTTTATATTTATTATCATAATAAATATAAAATTATTTTATAATATATTATTATTACTATGAATTTTATATTTGGAGTATCATAATAATTATGATACTCAAAATATAAGATTCATAGTCGTTGTTAAATTTTACGATATGCAAGATATTTGTTGCATGCAAAATGTGATAATTTAGTAGTGTAAGTATTTAAATTATTAGGATTTTTATAACTGTTTTTAGAATTATGGTTATTATTATGTTTTTTAAAATAAAACCGATGTTTATAATTAATTTCAAATATTGAAAATTGTTATTGGCGGAGGTGAATTTGATTCAAGTGTGAATAAAACGATGAATTATATTAGCCGTTTTTTAATTAATATCAACTAAGATATGCCACCCTCCCCTAACCCCGTAAATCAAATACACCTCCGCCAAGTGAAGATCTTAATTTATGATTGATTGAAATTGAAATAACTAAAAATAAACAAAAAGTTTAAAAGTGAAGATCTTAATTTATGATTGATTGAGGCAAATAAAGAACACTCTTTTTTCGACAACCAACAAATTATACCAATTACTAGGATCGTTTTCATATAAAAAACATACAAACGGGTAGCGATCGTTTAATCGAAAAGTTAAAAAGCTATTTAAAAATAAGCGAATTTTTTCTCAATCTTTTAACAGTTTTGAAATGCTTATAGCTTTTTTTCTTTAACGTTTTTCGCCTGACCAAAAAACGATATCGCCGATTGATCTCAGGGCCTTAGGAACAAAAGTTATATTGGGGGGGGGGGGGCAATACTACCCCTAAATAGTTTAAAGGACCATTTTTTTTTAGTCATTTTTTCTGCCAATTTCTTCGAAATTATTTATTTGAAAATTATTAGTGGGGGGAGGGGTAGTCTTATCGCCAAGCCCCCAGTTATCCGCTAATAATATAGCCATCAAATCTTGTCATTAAAAATGTTGTCAAATATAAAAAGAAAACTATATATATATATATATATATATATATATATATATATATATATATATATATATATATATATATATATGAATTATTATACATACGATTTTTTATTATCTTGTTCATTATCATATACGATTTGTCATGATACGAAGAGTTTATTTACAAACCGCAAGCAATTGTATTTTTGTGTTCTACTTTAAGAAACATTTAACTAGAATATTCAGGGGCATCTGTTTTTAGCAATAACTTACATATAAAAAATTTATTTTATTTGAAAAGGGAAGTGAAGCCGGATAAGCCAAAGAAGCATACATATTACACATGCAAGTGTTTATAATAAGTGACAAATAATTTATCGTAACAATTCAAATGTTTGAAAAAAATTTGATAAAAGTTAAAAAATCTCAAGACAAAAACTTTAAAAATATTTAAAAATTTCTTTATAAACTGTGTTAAGTCAGTATCTTTACGGCGCCCTCTTTACAGCGTTAAGAAATCAGGGAATCAGTGACGTGTGCGTTTATATAATGGTTTACAAAAATAATTTACGCACTATTTGAATGTATTTTATCTTATTTATAATTAATATTTTTTCAAACTTGAATTTTAGTATAACTCTCTGGTATTATTAGTTATTAGTTGTTTTTTAAGTTACTTGAAATTTTTTAAATTTAAGTTTGCACATAAAAACAAAATTGCTCATAACGAGTTTTGAAAATAAACTCTTAACCAACTTGAATGAACGTTGCCCATTTAATAGTTGCTTTTTAAATAAAGACACTTATTTTTAAATATTAATTTGTATAACATTAGAAATATATTTCCACGTAATTAAAGAGTATAAAAAAAGTAATTTTCATGGAAATTTTGAATTTCCAAGAAAATCTCTAGGTTGATGTTAGAGAATGCTGAAATTAAAAAAAAAGTTTCACCCGTATAAATTATATGACTTAATTGTTTGTCAACTACTTTCCTTAAATATTTTATTTTCTCATTTTAACGTTGCACTTACCATAGACTATTACTAAACGAAACGTAGAAAACCATAAATTTTGCGTCCGACCATTCATTCTGTCACGTACACCAAATGAAAATTTGTGTCAGTTTTATAAAGCGAAAAATCATGTAATTGTATGTATATTTATTCTAAAAAGCAAATATGAAAGACAAAATTATTAAATATTTTAATTATTTTAAATAGAATTATTTTATTCCTAATTTGTATTACTAATTTTTTTAAAAACAAATTTACAAATATAAATATTAAATATCTATGAATATCACATTACAAATTTTAGTTATTAACTTAAAATAGTTCTTAGACTACAGCAGTGAGCTGACACACTCTGCAAGCGTATCATGTGCCTGACCAAGTATCTTATTACCACGTACCGACGTACATGCGTACCCAACTAAAAGCCTTAAAAGAATTTCACCAGAAATTCCCTGAAATAAAATATAACATTCAAAAGCAGTTTGAAAAACTTTTTTTATGCGTATGGAAGTTAATGTTCATGCGCAATTAAAGGATCACTTATGCGCATAGAAATTTTTACTTAAGCGTCTAGAAATTATTTTAATTCTATAATTTTAGTAATAATATTAGTTGATTTACTTTTTTTTAAAATGACATTAAAAATAACATTTCACAAGTAATAAATTTATCGTTTTTTTATTTCTAACTACTTTAATATAAATTATTGCTATGTTTAAAAAACACGAACAAACAGTTCTAGACATAATCAGTGGAAATCTGAAAATTTTAAACGAAAGATTGGACAAGCTTGAGATCAATGCTAATGAAAATGTAATAAAAATCAAAAAAAAATTGAAAAAGAAATTGAAGAAATAAGCGATAGCATAAACTTTAACGAAAGCATTATTGATAAAAAAAATCGAATACAATAGCAAACAACTAGAAAAGGAATTAATCGAAAACGAAATTTTAAAAGAAAAACATCAAAAACTTGAAGATCGTTCACGTAGAAATAATCTACGAATAGATGGATTATGCGAAGACGAAAAAGAAACCTGGGGACAAACAGAAGAAAAAGTCCACTTATTTTTCAAACAAAAACTTGGTGTTGAAGAGATTGAAATTGAGCGTGCCCATCGCACTGGACATAAGAAAAATGGAAAACCTCGGACAATAGTCCTCAACCTTCAACGATATAAAGATAAAGTAAAAATACTGAAAGAACTACATCGAATAAAAGGAACAAACATTTTCGTTAACGAAGACTTTTCACTCGAAACCGTTGCCATCAGGAAAAAATTGTTTACTGACGTAAAACAAAGACGTTTAAACGGAGAGAATGTTGCGGTTCGGTATGATAAAATTATTTGTTTTTTATGATAACAATAGAAAAAAGTAAACTAATTCACACTCTTAAAAAGAACTCTTTTAAACATATATAAAACAATCATGGCTGCATTAAATAATTTTGAATCTCTCGCGTTTAATTTTTTCGAAAAAGAATTTTTTTCCCAGGACGAAAACTCAGATCCCGACAATAATTTTTATTGTGAGACTTTTTCAGATTGTTCGTATATTTTTCCAAGCGAACTAGAAGAGTATCTTTTTAAGAATGTTATTGACAAAAATTCGAATCAAATTAGAATTCTCCACCTCAATATAAGAAGTCTAAATAGTAACTTTGAAAAACTTTTAAATCTAATAGAAGAAACGAAAAACCTTTTTAATATAATATGCTTAACAAAAACGTGGATTACATCAAGAGATCTAAATAGTCATTTTCAAATTCCGCATTTTAATATTATTTCTTTGGAGAGACAAATAAATAAATGAAGTGGTGGAGTACTAATTTATGCGCACGAAACAGCGATTTGAGCATTTCTGATAGCGACAAAGAAGTCTTAACAATTGAAATTGAAAGCAACCAAACAAAAAACTTATTAATTAGCTGTTGTTATCGGCCACCTGCTGGCATGAGTAAAAACCTTAGCATGTTTTTGCATAACGTCATTAAAAAAGGCGATACCGAAAAGAAAAAAAATATTTTGCTTGGGGATTTTAATATGAATTGCTTTCTTTATAACAATGACTATAAAGTTAAAAGTTTTTATGACACATTTTTTGAAACAGGATCAATCCCCCTCATTAATCGCTCTACCAGAGTAACTATAAACTCAGCGACTTTAATCGATAATATTATTTCAACTGATATTTTTAATAAGGGTATAAAAAAAGGTATATTAAAAACTGATATAACGGACCATTTTCCCATTTTTGTAACAATTGATACATATACAGCAAAAAACATTGACAACAAAAAAGTATTGAAGAAACGTATCATTAATCAAAATAACCTTAATTTATTCAAAGACCAACTATCCTTACTCCATTGGAATAATGTTAACATAAACAATAATGCAAACGACATATATGAGACTTTCTTCAAAACTTTCTATTCTGTATACGACGCTAACTTTTCCGTAGTTGAAATTATAGCAAAACCTAAGAGTTTGAATTCTCCTTGGATTACCAAGGGGTTTAAAAAATCTTCCAAAATCAAACAAAAGTTATATATAAATTTTCTAAAAACAAAAACAACTGCAAACGAAAAAATTTACAAAAACTATAAATATTTATTTGAGAAAATTCGTAAAAACTTAAAAAAAAAAATATTACTCGGAATTACTTAACAAATTCAAATATAACACCATGCGCATTTGGGAAATAATGAAGGAAATTATAGGAAAACAAAAATCATGCTTTGGTTTACTGCCACAAATGATTAAAATAGAAAACACTAGCATATTTGGACCAAACGCTATATCACATGAATTTAATAAATTTTTTACTGAAATAGGTCCTAAACTATCAAATAAGATTCCTATCACAAAAACTTTGTTTAGTGACATTTTATTATCCTTGGAGAAGTGCATACGCTCTGATGAGCTATCCTCTGATTTATCAATTAAAGAACTTGAAAAGGCGCTCAAATATTTAAAAAGAATAAATCATGTGGACCAGACGAAATAGATGGAAATGTGATAATAGATTGCTTTAAGCAACTAAAAGATGTTCTTTTCAAAGTTTTTAATGCCTCAATTAAACAAGGAATCTTTCCAGAACAATTAAAAATTGCCAAAGTTACACCTATTTATAAAGATGGTGACCAATCCCAAATAACTAATTATCGACCCATCTCTGTGCTCTCTGTATTTTCAAAAATCCTAGAAAGAATTATGTACAACAGAATATATAAACACTTTGACAAAAATAACCTACTCTATGTTACTCTAAATATATCAATTTGGTTTTAAAAAGGATAGCTCAACAGAGCATGCAATTATCCAACTTGTAAATGAAATTTCAAAATCGTTTGAACAATCAAAATATACATTAGATATTTTTATCGACCTATCGAAGGCCTTCGATACGGTTGACCATCACATCCTACTCAAAAAACTGAAATACTATGGAATAAATAACCAAGCATTAAGGTGGTTCAGAAGTTACTTAACAAATAGAAAACAATTTGTTGTTGGTAATGACAACTATCACAACAATTGTTTAAGTATAACCTGTGGAGTTCCACAAGGTTCAATCCTCGGACCTCTCTTTTTTTTAATTTATATAAACGATTTAAATAAAGCAACTAATCTGATGAGCATCATGTTTGCTGATGATATTAATTTATTCATCTCTAAGAGCGATATTAGCGAACTTTTTGCCACAGTGAATAAAGAACTTAAACTTTTATCCCACTGGTTCAAATCCAACAAATTAACTTTAAATACTGACAAAACTAAATGGACTCTTTTTCATTCGAATAGGAAAAAAAAAATTTTACCCTTAAACTTGCCTCCAATTTTTCCTTTATTGATGAAATTGAAATAAAAAGAGACTCCGTTATTAATTTTTTAGGTGTTTATCTCGATGAGAACATTAATTGGAATCAACATATTAACTATATATGCACTAAAGTCTCTAAAAACATTGGAGTTTTGTACAAAGCTCGAACTTATCTCAATAAGAAACACTTAAGGCAACTTTATTTCTCATTTATTCACTGCTACATAAACTACGCTAATATTGTCTGGGGAAGTACTGAAAAAAGTAAATTACTTCGTCTTCATCGCTGTCAGAAACGAGCAATTCGCATAATTAACTTTGCTGATCGTTTTTCTCATTGTAAACCTTATTTTATTGAGATGAAAATTTTAAATGTATTTGAACTCAACGTTTTAAAAATTTTATGCTTTGTTTATATGTGGAAAAACAATCTATCCCCCCAGTCTTTAAAGATTTTTTTAGTTTAAAACCCAGCAACAAATACACTCTTTAAAGAAAAAATTTTTTTAACGAACCTTTTTGTCAAACAAATTTTAATCAATTTTGTCTTGCCTATCGTGCACCGCACCTATGGAATAAATTTGTTTTACCTAATGTTGATTTTGATCGACCAAATTCTTTTTGTCTTTTTAAAAACAAAATTAAAAATCTAATTTTTTCCCTCGATAACATTTTAGAGTACTATTAATTAATTTATCTATTATTTAAATTTTTATTATTTTTTCCCTAAAGTTTTGTTGTTAACAACTATTTATATTTAAAGATTTGCTAATGTAAAAGTTCTATATATATATTTTACTTTACTGTAACGTATACTTTACAAGGCATTCGTAAATTATATTGTTTATAAATATTTTTTAAGGATCCGATGATAAGATCTTAGTGATCTTCTTTCGGAAACCTAGTTTACACTGTTATCACGATTTGTATATATATATTTGTAAAGTAATTTGAATAGTTTATTGTATTGTAAAACGACTAACTTTGTAAGCTGAAAAAAAAAAAAAAAAAAAAAAAAAAAAAAATATTGTAACGCCATGCAAAATTAAAAAGTAATAGGTTTTTAACTTGTTATAAAAGATTCTACTTGATTCTTAAAAAAAATGATAAATAATTGATTCAATAATCAAAGTATAACTCTCAACAATAAAAAAATGGAATATATTAGGCGTTTTAAAAAATCATTTGTACTGGCATGTATCCTAAACATTATCATAACAGGGGAAAGAAAGAACCGAAACTTTAGGCTTACTTTGGGTAAACATTTTGTGGGTTCATGAAATGTTGAAAAAGGTAAACAAGTCTTGCAGCAATGTTTTGGTTT